TGACTCGCCATCTCCACAGTATAGATGTGCCTGCATGCAAGTTTCATATGGATTACATAATCTGAGAATATTTTTTTTCTCAGATTTGAATTGTTTCATTTGAAAGTAGACATTTCACTCTCTATAGCTATATTTTTCATGTCTGTAAGGCAAGTGTACACGGAGTTTCGCGCTCAAGTTCACAGAGGCATCCTATTTGCTTTCATTATTTTACAAAAGCACAATGTTTTGTTGGTATTGTGAGTGCACACAAATAAACGCCGAGGCTTTACAGATTCAAAAGATGTATTATTCTTATCCGTATGACCAAAATGGAGTATTTTAAGAGCAAGTGAGCGCGCCGGCGCCTCCATCTGTCATTCTGTGAGAGCGCTACTGTTCAGACACTTGTATAGCGCACATTTTTCTAGGTTAACATTAGATTGAGCGGCCATGTAAAGTTGCTACTACTTGCATGTTTCAGATGATAAGCCATATTTGAGGTCGATGAATGATAGGCAAGCGTTTGGATGTACTGTATTACCACAAAGACCAGCCATTAACGATCTGTCCGTCACGGACTGCATGACCTCACCACTTCCTGTGGATTTTTTTTCTGCGACTAATAAAATTTGTCGACCTCATCGACTATTAGGGGGCAGCCCTACCCACAACATTAAAGAAACAGGAATATGTTTAACAGTGGGCATGGGGTACTTTTATATCCCTGTGTACCCCTTTAATCCCATATTGTGTGTTCATCTGACCATATAACCCTGTACTCAAGAGTCTTTGGCCACTCAAACTATCCTCCTCACCGTGGGTTGGGACATTAATTAATTAATTTAATTAATTAATTAATTAATTTAGGGCTGCACGATTAATCGAATGCGATTGTCATGCGCATTTTGTTAGTAAAGCCGGTTCTGTAATCAACAGGAAATCATCGTCACGTGCTTTCAGATGGAGCAGAATTTACTACACATAGCCGTAGTTCACTGACAAGTTACGCAAAAAAATCGCAGACGATTTTATTGCGCGATTCTGAAATCGAAGAAATCGTTCACGATAATGACGGCTGTTTGCATAGCTTCTCAGTGAACTACGGCTCTGTGAAGTAAATGCTGCTCCATCTGAAAGCATGTGAAAATACCACATTTAATAACATATTTTTACTCCAAACTCACTTCATAACATCAGTTGAGTGTTTGAAATAAATCCTTCTGTGAGATGATGTGGCTTCTTACACAGAATAAGGCACGCAACATATTTCATAGTATTTAAGCAGTGATAAAGGCATTGCATTATAAATCTACTTTATTTGAATGAAAATTATAATAATAAGAACTCCGATAAACCGTATATTGCCATAGTCGTCTGTTTATTAGTCACGTTGAATCAATGAAAGCAGTTGAATCTTCAGTTTATTCCGCTGCAGCGATATTTCCTGGGTTTCTTCTGCGAGGCGTATTTGGAGTTTCAGCGCGAGAGCGCCCTCTGGCCTTTGGATGGAGATTTACTGCTGATCACAGAACCGTGCTTCACTGAAAGATGCGCATGACCATCGCAGCTTCTGTTCAATCGCGATCTCGATTCCATTTTGATTTATCGTGCAGCCCTAAATTAATTAATGGTGTGTTTTGGGTGGTGTGCTGTTTTTGCTTTTCCGCAAATACAGCACTTGAAGTTCAGTCCAAAAATGTCAATTTTAAAACTTGACCTGACTCTCTCCACCAGACTGCATCTCTATTGTCATGTGTCAATGAGTTAAAGACCTGGCTTAGCTCCAACTCTCTCAGTTTGAATTTGACTAAAACAGATATCTTACTTGTCGGGCCCCCAACTGTAACAAAAAACATAACAAATGCCCCTAGATTTGACCTTGAAGCCACGTCAATTATCCCATCTGCCACAGTTAATCTAAATCTAGATGCTTATATTAGTAAGCTCTCCAAAGTTGCATTTTTTCAACTTTGCCGTATTGCCAAACTCCGTTCCTTCATCAGTCCAAAAGATGCTGAATTACTAGTAAATGCTTTAATCATATCTCACCTTGATTACTGCAACGCTCTTTTTTTCCGGATTACCAGTACGCTCCATCTCTCGATTGCAATATATTCAAAATTCTGCAGCGAGAATGCTAACTTACACTAAACGGTCTGCACATATCACTCCTATTCTATTCAACCTCCACTGGCTACCTGTGTCCTCTCGTATCATTTATAAAATTATTCTGCTTACCTTTAAGTCACTCCATGGTCTTGCACCTACCTATCTCTCTGACCTGCTTTCTCCATATATTCCCTCTCGTCCACTTCGATCATCTGGAGTTGAACTTCTTTGTGTTCCGAGATTTCGCCTATTATCTATGGGAGGTAGATCTTTCTCTGCTATGGCTCCCAAACTTTGGAACACATTGCCCCTGGCTCTCCGGACAATAACATTTTTACTCCAAACTCACTTCATAACGTCAGTCGAGTGTTTGAAATAAATCCTTCTGTGAGATGATGTGGCTTCTTACACAGAATAAGGCACGCAACATATTTCATAGTATTTAAGCAGTGATAAAGGCATTGCATTATAAATCTACTTTATTTGAATGAAAATTATAATAATAAGAACTCCGATAAACCGTATATTGCCATAGTCGTCTGTTTATTAGTCACGTTGAATCAATGAAAGCAGTTGAATCTTCAGTTTATTCCGCTGCAGCGATATTTCCTGGGTTTCTTCTGCGAGGCGTATTTGGAGTTTCAGCGCGAGAGCGCCCTCTGGCCTTTGGATGGAGATTTACTGCTGATCACAGAACCGTGCTTCACTGAAAGATGCGCATGACCATCGCAGCTTCTGTTCAATCGCGATCTCGATTCCATTTTGATTTATCGTGCAGCCCTAAATTAATTAATGGTGTGTTTTGGGTGGTGTGCTGTTTTTGCTTTTCCGCAAATACAGCACTTGAAGTTCAGTCCAAAAATGTCAATTTTAAAACTTGACCTGACTCTCTCCACCAGACTGCATCTCTATTGTCATGTGTCAATGAGTTAAAGACCTGGCTTAGCTTCAACTCTCTCAGTTTGAATTTGACTAAAACAGATATCTTACTTCTCGGGCCCCCAACTGTAACAAAAAACATAACAAATGCCCCTAGATTTGACCTTGAAGCCACGTCAATTATCCCATCTGCCACAGTTAATCTAAATCTAGATGCTTATATTAGTAAGCTCTCCAAAGTTGCATTTTTTCAACTTTGCCGTATTGCCAAACTCCGTTCCTTCATCAGTCCAAAAGATGCTGAATTACTAGTAAATGCTTTAATCATATCTCACCTTGATTACTGCAACGCTCTTTTTTTCCGGATTACCAGTACGCTCCATCTCTCGATTGCAATATATTCAAAATTCTGCAGCGAGAATGCTAACTTACACTAAACGGTCTGCACATATCACTCCTATTCTATTCAACCTCCACTGGCTACCTGTGTCCTCTCGTATCATTTATAAAATTCTTCTGCTTACCTTTAAGTCACTCCATGGTCTTGCACCTACCTATCTCTCTGACCTGCTTTCTCCATATATTCCCTCTCGTCCACTTCGATCATCTGGAGTTGAACTTCTTTGTGTTCCGAGATTTCGCCTATTATCTATGGGAGGTAGATCTTTCTCTGCTATGGCTCCCAAACTTTGGAACACATTGCCCCTGGCTCTCCGGACAATAACCACACTCCACGAATTTAAGTCTAAACTCAAAACCTATATGTTCCACCAATATTACCTATTATAATGTCATGTTAATGTTACCTGTTAATAATGTTTTTTTTTTGTTTGGTTTTTTTTCCCACCTCATAGTAACAATCCTGTCAGATCGTCCATCCTTTGAGTGAGAGTGTAACGTTACAGGTCGGACGATCTGGTTTAGTGGTTAAAAATAACCTTTTCGACATATTTCTGTGTTGTCGTTGCTCAGCAAAAGCATGGATGCGATGTTGTCTGGGGTTTGGCAAAAGGAGAGTGGGACTGTGGGCGGTGACTGTGTAGTTCTGACGTCAACTTTTTACGGAAGTCACAACGGTTCGTGAAAAATAGCTAGAACTTTAAGCAGTCTGTGTGAATTTGACTGTGGACTGACTGTTTTGAAACTTATATGGTAGTTAAATAGCCCCTAGACCTCGGTAATCGTGAAAAAAGCCAGGAAATTTCAGTTTTGACAATATGGGACCTTTAAATCCCAAAGAAAGTTTGTGGAAGAGAAGAGAGCAGTCCATTGGCCCTCACCACAGAATTTGACTGAACTTGAGGAATTCTGCAAGCAAGAATGGGCAAATATTCTCCAATCTATGTGTGCAAAGCTTATACAGACATATCAGAAACGATTAATGGCTGTAATTAAGGTGGCTTTACGAAGTATTACATCAGGGGACTGAGGGCTTTTCCAACCCTGTTATTCTAGTTCTATTCTATTCTAAAATTTGTAAATAAAGAAGAAAAAGGTATTTTTTTCTAATGGGTTTTGATTTCAGGCTGTACGACAAATAAAGTAAATCTTTCAAAGGGGTATGAAGATGACTGCTCCAGGTGTGTGTTCACAGTGTGTGTGTGTTCGCTACTGTGTGTGCGCACTTGGATAGGTTAAATGCAGAGCACAAATTCCGAATATGGGTCACCATACTCGGCCACACGTCACTTCACTCAAGATTTTCTATAAGCACTGTATTTTATTACTGCCACTTTCTATTTTGTGAACCTCAACAGTGTTTTTCTGCACATCAGAACTGTATTCTTTAGTTTTTCAATGGTTTTACTTCAATCAAAGGTTAGATTTTTGTGAATATTTTCAAAGAAAGATCTAAAGGATAAACAATGTAGACTTATTTTCACAGCTGCCTTTGCTCATATTTACCAAGGGGGCTAGTAATTCTGACCTCAACTATATGTGTATGGATATATTTATCATGTGGTTTCCGGAGTAATTTATTAGCATATTTTTGAGTTTTGTACTAAATCACCTTTCTTTTTCAACCATAGGTTCTGATCGAAAAATACAGCTACACTGAGAACTTCACCTTAGTCGATGGACGACTGTTCATTTGCACGGTCTCCTGCCTTTTCGCCATTGTAGCTTTAATTTGGGACTACCTGCACCCATTCCCAGAGTCCAAGCCTGTACTGGCGTGCTGCGTCATATCATATCCTTCACTGAGCAAACTCCCAACAGAGTGGAGATGATTTACATTGGAGGTTTGACAGTGTAAATGAATGTAAACTGGGCACTGCTTCAGTTTTTATCCTTAACAGATCCACACATACTTCATCATGATGGGGATTTTGACCCTCTACACCTCTTACAAAGAGAATAACATCTTCCTCATGGCCATGCAGAAGGACCCAGCTGGTATGGACCCGGATCACATCTGGCAGCTGTCCTCTAGCCTAAAAAGGTTAATTTTGCATTTGTTTTTCTCCTTTTATTTATACAATTTTATTTATTTTATCTTTCTGGATAGGGCAGCATGGAATTTGTTTGATTTTTTCCCCAATTTCATTTTTTTCAGTATTTTTCCCAAATCCTATGTTTTCCATGTTAACTTTTCTAGATTCATTTTTCATGGTGTAGTGAAATTTTAATTAAAAAAAGCATGCCTTATCAATTGAATTCATAAACCTTAATGTTTACAATAATAGGGCCATATTAAAAAAAAATTTTCCCCCAAAAATTGTTTTTTCCCCAACATTTTGACTTAAACTGATCAAAAACATTAGTAATCAAATTACAGCATTAAACATTAATATTTCATAAGTCTTTTCAAATGTAATCCAATTAAGTATACTATTAAAATTATTATTATTTTAACCGTGAGAATTACATTCTACTCTACAATAGTAATATATTGCTGTCATAATTTCAAGTTAAACCAAGTTTTTAAGTCTTTGAAGTGTTGTCGTGAAGACCTTTGGGTATTTGTGTGTATATGATATAACAATATTTTATTTATTTATTTATTTTTTTAAGTGAAATGTTAAAATGCTGGGGAAATGAAATTTCAGAGCAGTTCTGGAGATGAAGTTCATGTGCAGTGTCTCATATAGTCAGATTGCAGACACTGAAAACACCACGAGCATCTCGTGTGCTTGTATGTATGTTTAGTAAACACAACTGCGGCGCCCATTTACAACGGAGACACGCAGAACATTCAGATTTCTCATTTAAATAGCAGTCTTTCTGCACCTCAATATTCATAGACACTACTTCACAAAGCAATTTGATACGGTTTTTATTCTTCCAAAATTTGCCAAATTCTGTGACATTCCACATTATACTGGTAATTCCATTTTTATGACTGGATTCTGTTTTCAGCATAGTAGGGGTGTGCGATATTGATCATCTACGATAATATCGTAATTGTTGTTTTAACGATATGCAAGCTGACATTATCAAGTGTCACTCTCTTTTGCAAAAAAAAAAAAAAAGCAAACGTCTTGAGAGTCCTTATGCATTATGCATTCACTGCATAATGAAGCCTGATACTTGCCCCAGGGTTTCCGCCTTAAAAAGTCTTAAATTGTACAATAAAGTCTTAATTATGATTTCAAGAGGTCTTAAATTTGGGTATAGAAAGACCAGAATTGCGATACGGCTGAATGTGATGATTAAACTTCAAAAAAGGCTACGATTTCATTAAATAAACGGGAGCGCTGCAGGTTCAAAGTCCGGTGCTGCGCTGCTTTGTGTTCTGCTGTTACTGGGGAAACAGTGATATTTCTACCAAACGCGCCACCTGCTGGCAGAGAATGAGCATTTTCAAAAAGCCTGTTGTTTTGTTCAGACCAATGCGAAAATTGGCCCATGTTTTTACCCTGCAAACACGCAGAGCTTTAAATGTGAACTGGTGGATCGATAAGAAGACAATGCATTATAAAAATCAAAACAGTAGGGTGTGCGATATATACGGTCAGCGATTAATATCGTAATTGTTGTTTTAACGACGTGTGATTCAACATTATGGAGTACATTGCAAAAAGCAAACAAAACAGAGTGCACAGTCCGCACACATACATTAGGTGATGAAGTCAGTTAATATAGGTATACGTATACAGCCCGCAGTGTCTTTTAGTACGGCCCGCTGGATCATATTAGACTCAGATGATCAATTTTAAAACATTTGAAAAGCAAGTCATGTAAAGATCGCTTTCAGTTTAAGATGTTAATGCTACAGTTTAAAGGCTGAAATGTGAAGTGCAGATCTTAAAAAGGTCTTTAAAGGTCTTAAATTAGATTTTTAAAATCCTGCAGATACCAGGTTATTTTATGGTGCCATTTAGAATACTATTTTAATTTTTTAATTAAGCCCTATTTAACTGTCCTCTTAGGTTGTTTTGAGAATGTTCTGTAAAGGCCACTAATAAAAAAGGACCTCTGCACATTTGTTTGCTGCAAATTTACAGACACTGCAATTGAGATGTTTACATTGGCTTGTCGGGGTAATATTTCTGTCCACTGATAACAAAGTTTCACAAGCTTTCGATTCGATTACCGATTCGATTCAATATCAATTATTTTGGATAAATATCAGGTACAGTACATGCCAAATTTTCTCAAAGAAAAAAAATCTCTCAACTAAAGCTGTAAATATACAGTGAGTTGGTACTACATTACTATAATAGAGTACTGATGGGTGCTAATATGTTCTAGAGTCAACAGTAACACACAGCAGCCTGTTCTAACAGAATTGTGTGTGTTTGCTAGGCGGTGGCAGTACTCACAGCAACATATCCGGTTGGTCACATGCCCTACGGCTGGTTAACAGAACTACGTGCCATCTATCCAGCATTCGATAAGGTAGGTAGGTGGTGGTTTTGACTAGGGCTGGGTTTGGACACAAATTTCACGATTCGATTTGATTCTCATTCACAAGCTTGCGATTCGATTCGATTCGATTACCAATTCTATTCGATTCAATATCGATTATTTTGGAAATATATCAGGTACAGTACATGCCAAATGTTCTCAAGGAAAAAAAAATCTCTCAACTAATGCTGTAAAATATACATGAGAGTCAGTTGGTACTACATTACTATAATATTGAAGGTTAAAATTGACTGATTTGTAGGCTAATATACAACTGCTAAAATTACACTAAATGAAATAAATAATAGTTACAATTACAAAATAATACTTCTACTTCAATTCGTTTTTTTTTATTTAATTTTTTTTATATAAATATTTAAATGGTGGCTGTCTTAAAAACGATGATTTATTCAAACATAAATTAAACATTGAAGAACATTAAAAAATAAATAAATGTTATATGGTGTATATTTAGCAAAATGCCCCTCTCTACAGTTTATTTTTCCAGCTTACTGATGAATTTATGGTCACCGAATATGTTTTTCTGAGGTAAATGTGACGTTACGTGACACATTGTTTACAAGACTTTATATTGACGTCTTTGCGCGGCTGAAACACTGATTGAGAGATTACATGAGACAGGATACGGATTGTAAAGTTGTACTCTTTCTTTTAACTTAACTTCGGCTGTTTAGTCATGATTATTTTGTGCTGAAACTGGTATTAATGTGGAGGAGATGATCAGTTCACGTGCACCCCGCACTGCCGCTTTTATTTAACTGAGGCGCGCCGCGCTACAGCGATCTGTCACTCTACATTAAACAGCGCCAAAACGGCATTTATTGTTTAAATACTGCAATACAATGGACAGAATTTAAAATCTGAGACTTTGTTTCATATTAAAAGTACCAAAGCACAATGCTTATTGCGATTTATTGGATTGGAGGTGCCCTTACCTTATCAGAGGCGCACGAGATGCAGATTTTTATTTTAAATTCGACTAATATTCGAAATTCAAATTTGTTTTTGATTTAACTTGCCTTCGGATGTTTAGTCATGATTATTTTGTGCTGAAACTGGTATTAATGTGGAGGAGATGATCAGTTCACGTGCACCCCGCACTGCCGCTTTTATTTAACTGAGGCGCGCCGCGCTACAGCGATCTGTCACTCTACATTAAACAGCGCCAAAACGGCATTTATTGTTTAAATACTGCAATACAATGGACAGAATTTAAAATCTGAGACTTTGTTTCATATTAAAAGTACCAAAGCACAATGCTTATTGCGATTTATTGGATTGGAGGTGCCCTTAAATGTTCCATCCATTAACTGAAAACAGGCTAGACTAATCGATTATTGGGATTTAAGAATCGATATCGTTCCGTAAAAATGAGAATTGATTAAAATCGAGATATCAATATTTTTTACCCAGCCCTACTTTTTACAGTCATTTTACAGTATAACATGGTACTATAGACATTGTCCTACCCCGCTCATAAGGTATTAATTTTATTTGTGCAGGTCTTAAAAAGGTCTTAAAGTCTTAAATTTGCACTTAAAAATCCTGCAGAAACCTTGTTGCCCTGTTGTTTTTGTTGCAAAAAATATCCCTGTATGAGTAGTAAGATATATGACATAAGTATTATCACACAAGCAAGAGTGCAGTTTTCCCAAATATTAGCGTGATCCAAAATGTAATATTGATTTTATACAACAGATCAACAAAGTTGATAATACTGAATTACATTTTGGACTCAATATTGGCTGTTCTTGCTATGTTTCACCAACAAAAATAGTTCCAAAAAAGCCGGAGCAAAACGGTTGTGCCTCTCAGAGAAACACTGCGATGTTTCATAATTGAATGAATCTGCTTCTAATCGGATCATTTGAGTCAATGATTCAATCACCCATTCATAAAGACAGTAATTTGCTTTGTTTCTAAATGAACCAACTATTTTGAACAAATTGTTTGAATGAATGATTCAATGAATTGCTCATGAAGACCGGGTTGGGCTGCCACCTACTGGTGGTTTTAGACAGGCCTAATCCATGGGAAGAGCACTTAAACACACTCGCACAAAATATTGCCAAAAATTGTTATCGAAAAAAGTCTCTAAAAATAACAAGACTTTATTTTTGGTCAATATTGCACACCCATAAGGGGTAGAACAAACCCCTAACCATAAATATTTAATGACAGTACTGTACAATAGGGCTGGCAAAAAAACTAATTTGAATTTCGAATATTCGTCGAATTTAAAATAAAAATCTGCATCTCGTGCGCCTCTGATAAGGCTGCCTCCTTAACGCACAACTAAAATTCAAATGCAACGTTTTTGCATTCAATTGTTTACATCAAAACTGAAACCAAGCCGTTCACACAGAACACATATTTTGCGCATTTTTAGAGGGACATCTATCACCGTTGCACTCGCATGTAGCACAAAGGAGCTGTTCAATGCGCCCTCTTGTGGCCTCAGAAGAGAAGCCAAAAGCTTTTCTTCACCCTAACTGAAATTATGCATTTTAAATTCGAATATAATACGAATTTTGATATTTAAGTACACAATTCGAATTTGGTTTTTCAGCCATTTTAACAGCCCTACTGTACTAGACACCTGTTCACTGTATAGCAATGCCATTCTTCAGAAAAAAAAAAACATCATACTGTAGTGTAATTCTTCTAAATATAAATTGATTGCAACTTACTGACTTGTTTCCATTAGGTTTGATGACCAGTATACTTTAAGATTGTGTTTCACTGATGGGAAAACCAAGCAGTCGAGGGAGATGGAGTTTACGAAGTCAGTCGGGGTGTTCTTCGACGAGAACGGGACACTGGTGATGGACCAATATGAGAAATCTGTCTCAAAGCTTCATGATACATTGGCCACAGACAAGAAGACAAAGTAACATTTAGTAGAAACTGACGGCACTGGCCTTCAGTGACACAGCACATGCAGTAACGGTGGCTTTAGTGGGACAAACACAGATTTTATTCAGGCTAGTGAGTGTTATCAGAGTTTAGCTCGCAGCTATAACATTACATAAGGTCAGCACAGTGTTCTATTTCTTCTGTTAAAGAAATGGTCCAGTTTTCTTTTTTGTTAACCATGTTTTTTGTTTTGTTTTTTAAATGCAAGTTCAATTTATACCGGTCTCTCATTATAATGCTCTTAATAAAAATCCAGACATTTCTACAACATGCATAGATAAGAAAAAAACAGTGTTCTTCAATATCAGTAGATTTTAGGTAAATTTAAATGCTCACTTTAAAGAAATAGTTCACCCAAAAATGAAAAGTTGGTCTATAAATGTATTTTTTTCATAATCAGAAACAGTTCCCATTAAGTTTTTAGGTGTTGCGAGGATATTTATGTATTCATGAAGCAAAATAAGTCACTCCTTACTTTAGGAGTGTTTTTGGAAGTGATCCACGATAGTGCGCCCACATTTCATGACGCCTATATACGCCTGTATATATATATATATACGCCAAGCTTTATAAAATGTTTTCAAATTGCACATTTTTTTTCTATTCTGATTTATACTTGTTGTTTAGGCTTTGAAGGACAATGAAAAGCAAAGGAGGGACTGTGTCCATCTGTTGAATTGTCCTCGTGTCATTTTGATACTTTTGTGTTTGGCCATTTAAACTTAAACCAGGGATAATCGTTTTATGTTTTTTTTTTTTTTTTTCTTCTTCTTTTTTTGAGCATTGGATCAGTTTTGACCTGTTTTTCACACTCAGGAGTGAATGGACCTGCATTTCCTGGTTTTCTTTCTGTGTTCTGTCAACAGATATTTTCAAGTAAATAAATTATCAAGTAATAATTTATTTTGAAAGAACTGTACATCTGGATGCAGTTTGTTTCTCCATATTGTGAAATATTAACTTGCTGAATTCCATTAAGGATTCTAAGCATTTTTGTCTAATAATATTCAGCTTTAGCTACCCATATTGTATGTGCCTGTTATCAAACAAACAGAAAAATTACAAAATAAAGTGATAAGGCGTTTTTACATTTCTGTTTGATGTCAATCTTTCGTTTTAATAACTTTTGCCAGATCTGATTTATTCTTTTTTGACCACCTCTACTCATTTCCCAATCAAAAATTCATATTCTGTTTTTTATATTTATGACAAGATTATTGCTATATTACTCACATTTATAAAAATAGGAATGCACCATGTAAACCATGTAAACCATGTAAATGGTTTCAACATTCGGTTTAAGCCTCAATTGTTTTTTTTTTTGTTTTTTGTTTTTTTTAATACAAATGACAGTAAAGTTACACTGCAAAGGTCAAAGGTGGCACAGAAGCACTTTTGAAGTGGCATGTTGGTGTGTTTATATAGACTGTATCATGCTGCTCAGAGGTGGCATGAATGCATTTACACAGCATACTTGATACTAGGGCCTGAGGTGGGTCAGAGCAGACATAAATTATATTAATTTTGCTTTTATTCAGCATTACATTTTGCTCTGATTAAGCAGGCACAGTCTTAGCTCTGTAAAGATGGCTATTATTTATTTATATCTACTTTTTAAAACAAAAATGTAGTTCTTTATTTGCTTGAATTTACATAACTATTTCACCCAGGCTTGCTTTCAGACAAATATTCAGAATATTTAATACAAATAAACATTCAGAATAAGGTGTTTGTGATTCAAAATTCCATTTAATAATGTCATATTCCAGTAGACTTTCAGAATTTTAGAAACCATAATATTGACTTCATTATTTACATAATGCAAATGAAACATAGCACCATATTCCACTAAAAATATTTTGAGGTCTTTTTTTTTTTTTTTATGTAATAACGTGACGTTCCAGTGAAACAACAGACTCATACAGTATCTTGTGATGCATACAAGACTTCTCCAATCATTTAGTCCAAGCACGCATTCAGGTCTGCCTCCATCCACTCAACAACCGATGAACAGAACCCCATCCTCGTTCATATTTTTCAACAATCCTTTTCTCTCAAATGATCATAATATGGAAGAAAAGATATATTGAGACTTTAAAATCAACTGTGTGAGGTTTGCATGTTAGATCACATGTAGTACCGCATACAATACAGTAAATAAGATGCAACAAATAACACCTGAAAAACACTGGTAGTATTTTTAGTGACTTGCATATTACACTTTTACCCTTTGAAAGTCAGTCTGTGCCCTAGACATTATTGTGACGGCAGAGCCTGTGTAAACAGATCTGTGGGGGTTTGTTCCATTGTGCTTTGAACACGCTGATGCACATAGATGGAATGACTCACATTTGGCCCCATCCAATAAAGTGGATCTGTGAGTGATCACGCGCGTTCCTCTACAACACTGAAGACTATACACCGCATTAGGTGGAAATTTGTTTTATATTTAGATTTTATGACCGATTTAAGTCCGACACATTTGGGATATAACCTCAATTGCGAGAGATAATGAGATAAAAACTTGCAAATATATTTAATTTCATTTTTAATTCTGTGGCAGGTCGAACTGCCAATGTAGACTAAATCAATTTTATTATACCTTTGTCCTGTATCACAGTCAAAACAATTAACGTTAGACACAACTGGCATTTTGAAGAAAAAAAAACTTTCTTTAAACCTTCTAAAAGATATATTTTATTTCATTGAAACACCATAAATTACAACACAAAGCATTCAGCAATCCAGCTGCTTCATGACCGAACTGTTAAAAGACGTCAAACTTGCATTTGCCCTTTATGTATTGGATGGGATTGTTGCCCTGTTATGAGATATGTGGGTCAGCGAACTCTTGTTACTCAATGCAGGTCATACCGTGGAAACCAAAGCTGAGCTGCTTTCTCCATTAATCCAATTAAAGCAGATACCAAACAAATATACTGCATACAGTGACCAGTCTAATAATTAACATTGGGTCAATCTAAATTCTGAGTGCATATTGGCAGATCCTTTTGGCAATCAAAACGTGGATCTTATTCGGTGTTACTTTTGCTGCTTTTTTGCTCCGTCTTTTTTTAGGTGATTGTTTAAGAAGGTGACAGAATAATGCAAACTCTTGGTGACACAGCACCTACAAAATAATAAATAAAAAAATATTGAGAAATGTAAAGTTGAGAAAAAAATATTTTGCCAAGATTTATTTGTTTAACCTTTTAGGCAGGGATAATTCAGGATAATTAGGCACAACTACTGAGAGCATCCATCCATCCAATCCATCCATCTATCATCCATCCATCCAATTTCTGCAGATATACTTTTGTACAATTCACAGTACATTGTAATTCGCATCTGTATGCAATAACCGTTATAATCAATAAAATAAAATGTAATCTGTGCAATAACATTCACTGAAGAAGATTTGAGTACCTGTATCTTCGAGGGCAACCATGGTAGCCAATCAGGTACTCCTGCGCGTAGCAGTGCTTCCTGCACAGCCCTCGATATCCGCAAGTCCAGCCCTGTACATCTGTGTCATTAGCTTTCGGGAAAAGTTCAAACGGAGTTAAAACAAGCAAAGGCACACTCCATACTTGTCCAGCAGTCTAAACTGTTGTCTTTGCCAGTAAGTAATACATAATGCCATTAACCAGCAAATGCACATCAGCAGCCACACATTTCTTGGAATACTACTACCAATACCTACACATCAAGACTAGTTGCAAGGTTATATTCTATTGTTTAAATGCACTTGTACCTTCACCCGCTGTCAGCAGCAGCAGAGTTATAAGAATCAGTCCCAGTGCCCTCATGTTGTAGCTCACTGCATCTCTGGCCGGACGGCTGACGTCTCTCACATTTATATCGTACAGCAGCTCTGGTAGAGGAGAGGGAGGGAGGGAGGGAGGCTGGCTGGGGGCCCTGTCAATGCTACTGTAAATAACATCGTTTTCATTCCAGTGATGAGTTTGTGTCTGTATTTTCTGTCTAATCACAGCCTGTTTTGAAAAGGACTTGGTTTACCCATAAGCCTAGCTGCTGTTTCATAACTTATGCCCGTTATGCATGCAAAGAAAGAAATAATATCTGTATTAAATATAAGAACTGCTTTTATTGGTTTATAAAAAAAAAATCTGATCTTAAGTGTGATATTGTTAAAAACTGAAATTTGAAAACCTTTAGCCTTAAAAAGTATAATAGGCTGGTTATATCATGCTTGTCCGTTTAATGATGTAACGCTGCATTGTGGTTGCAGGTCTTTCTTTCAGTTATATGTACAGTTGAGCTGTTAATCTTTTGTAATCTGTGTAAGTGTAATTGTTTTAGGAAATATTTGGGTAAAACTTTATTTTAAGGTGTCCTTGTTCCATATGTTACATGTACTTACTATTATAATAACAATTAATTATACATAATTATATGCAAGTAACCCTAAGCCAAACCCTAATCCTAACCATAACCATGTAGTAAGTACATGTAGTTAATTAATATTACTCAGTACTTATATGTATAATTACACTGGAACAAGGGCACCTTAAAATAAAGTGTAACCAATATTTTATACCTACTTCAATCACAATATTACACAAAGGTGCATATGTATTTTTTTTAGAGATACATGCGATTAGATTTTTTTTAGTTTGTTTTGTTTTACTGTAGGTATTTGATGAATCTGGATCAATTGGTTATAGTGGTTTTATTTGTATTGTTTGTTTTTTTCCTGATTTGTAACACAGTAAGGTATATTTATTTGTATTTATTTATTTTATTTGTATTGTTTTGTACAAGTTATGGGTAATTTTCCTTCACTGTATGCTAATACCTGATCAGAATCACTGCTGATAGAAGTATCATTGTTAATGTAAAAAGTAGGCTACATCCTGCACCATTATGTTTAGAATGACCTCATGTAAGACTCATATATATGTGTGTGTTTCTGCAGTGGAAAATCATTGATAAACAGGTAGTTGTGCAACTATGTATGGCCAGGAATGCTGTCAGCAAAAATGCACTATTCAGGACCCACTGCAGCGGCAACAGCAGCTCACATGCAAGATCTTGTGACCAGGACACACACACACACACACACACACACGTTTACTTAGCTATCTAAATGGGGACATTACATAGACTTCTATTGTTTTTATATACAGATAGTTATACACTTTTTAACCTAAACCCACCCCTACCCCTCACAGAAAAGCTCAGGGCAGGTTGTATAAAAAAAAAACGAACGCACACCAGAATAATACTTCATAAGGTACAGAATCCAGAACATGCTAATTAAAAAAAAAAACACTTTTTGTTTTTAAAAAAAAAAAAAAAAAAAAAAAATTAAAATAAAAAAAAAAAAAAAAAACTTTGTTTACTTTATTTTTATACCAGTTCTACAAATGAGGACGTCCCCTAATGGAGGTTTTCGGCGATTTTGTCAGGTTTTGCTCACTTATGTGTACAAATTTGTCCCCAAAATATGGTTAAGTAGGTACACACACGCACGCACACCCACACTCGCTCACACACTGGTTTCAAAACTGTCAGAAGTGTTGGAAGAATGTTCAGTTAGGTAAGGTTCTTTACCCGTGTTATTGATTGATTGATTCATTCATTCATTCAAAAGCATACTAAATTGGGCATAAAAGATGATGATTATGGCTTTTCACTTTTCTAATAAATGTAATTTTCAGTAGTCAGCCAGCAGAGGGAGTGTGAATTAAACCTGTTCTCAGTGCATTCTGCACTGGTAGAATACAAATTTGAGCAGTGCATTGGCTATTGACAATATTTAACTTCTGTTTACAGGCTCTGGGTAATGAACTGATATACTCAATTATTTACAGTATCACATATTAGCTCTATATTATACAGTACATTATAGCATATATATATATATATATACTGTATGTGTGTGTATATATATGTATGTATATGTATATATATATACAGTGGTGTGAAAAAGTGTTGTTAATTTAAAAACTGCATGTTGTGTTCACTTGTGTTATCTTTTACTAATATTTAAATTTGTTTGATGATCTGAAACAAAGTGTGACAAACATGCAAAAAAATAAGAAATCACGAAG